CCCCCCATTATCTTTTCCGACCTGGACGCTTTGAGATGCACAGACTGTGGCTCAGGAATCGCTGTGAAGTTCCGCTGAGGACTTGGCCTTGGCCTCACGCTTCAGCCGTGGAATCAGGGCAGCCTGGAGAGGAGCAGACAGGAGGGGTTGGAGGTGCTGATGTGCAGGACAGAAAACGGGGCTGCGAGCAGAGAGACCCTGGGGGTCAGCTCTAGCCAGGGGCCAGGAGGCCTCTCTGAGCTGGACCTGGGGACCTGGGGGGGTTGTGGGGACAGAGCCAAGGCCAGGGGGTGGACGGAGCGTGCCAGGTGGGAGTGTGACTGAAGCTGAGCCAGTGTCTAGACAGGGTTCCCATCATGGAGGACCTGCGGTTTCCTCTGGGGGAGGCAGGAGCCTGGGGCAAGTTCTGAGCAGAGGAGGGCCAGGGCAGAAGCAGGGGCACTGGTGAGGACATGGGGTCCAGGATCGGGGGTGGCCATGGAGGGCGTGAGGGAGCAGGAAGATTTTGGAAACTTTGGGGTGGCAAGAATGATGGGTTTGTAGAAGGAGCGGCTACTGGAGTGAGAGGAGGGGGCAGCCTCCCCAGGCCTGGATCCCCCGCTCCCGGGCCCTGAGCCCCTCTTGCTGGCCAGGGCCCTGGGGCTGCACAGGCTGGCCGGGCCCCGGCCATGATGGGCAGCCCACTTCAGTTTCCCTCAGAGCTGGTAGCTGACCCTGCAGGTGGAGGCAGTGGGGGGTGGGGCCACATCTCACTGGCCTTGGGCCCCCCAGTGCCTGATGACGTATGTAGGGGTGGGGATGACTCCAAGCTCCAGAGTGTCCCCAGAGCCCGCTGTGGAAGTGACCTCTGTCGGTAGAGTCAGGTGCCAGCCCGGAAGGTTGAGTGGCAGGAAGAGGCGGGAATGGCCTGTGGCAGGACCAGGAGGTGGACAGGGGTTGGGACTGGATGTCCTCTGTGGTTGCCTCGCTGGCAGCATCCAAAATTCAGGTGGGTAGAAAGCCCCTGAGAGTCAGGTCCGGGGAGCAGGGTGGGTCCCCTGTGCGCAGGGGTCTCGGGCAGACCCTGTGCCCCACCTGTCTGCCTTTGAGTCCTGACTTTGCTCCCTCCTGGCAGGTCACTGCCCTAAGCCAGCAGTGCCTCCATTTACCCCTCTGTAAAATGGACATGGCCCAGCTTCCTGACAGCACGCTGGCGAGGATGAAAGGGAGCGAGGCACGCACAGCCTGGACCTGTGCCCGGCCACGACGCTGCCCAGTAGATGTGGTCCACAAACATTTACGAGGCCCTACTGTGTGCCTGGCTATGTTCTAGGGGCTGGGGACATCGCAGTGAGCAGGACAGAAGCCCCTGGCCCTAGGGAGTTGGCTTTCTGGTGGGAGAAGACACGATACACAAGGACGCATCCGACAGCTCTTGGGGGCAGGGCGGAGGACTAGCAGAGGGCAGGGAGGAGGGGCCGTGGGACATCGTGGAGGCCAGGAAGGCCTCACTGGACAGAGACTCAGAGGAAGAGGGGGTGGGGCACGTAGCAGGTGCAGCGGTCCTGAGGTGGGGGCGAGGGGAATGTAGCAGGTCCAGGCCATGCAGGCCCTTTAGGCCAGCCACGGTGGAGGGGAGGGGGCTCTGGCTTCCACTCTGGGCGAGGCTGGTGGCCTCTGTGGGCTCTGAGCAGAGGAAACACACGGCCTGTCTCACTCTTCCGAGGGCCAGTTCTGGGAACAAGTCAGTGCCGGGCTGTAGGCTGCAGTGCTGAGGGGTGTGGAGGCGGCCCCTGCACACCCAGGCAGGAGGGGAGGGTGCCGGCCAGGGAGCGGGCAGAGGGCAGGGTGCGTGTTTGGACTCGACTTATTTCATGGTAGAACCGCCAGCGTTTGCCGTTGGCGGGCTCCTAAGAGAGGCTGCCCACGAGGAGGGCTCTGGGCCTCGGCCCGAGCAACAGGAAGGGCTGAGTGGTCAGGGGAGGGGAGGAGGTGGAAGGGGCCGGCCTGGAGGGGTCCTTGGAGAAGGCTGTCAGGGTTGGGGGCCAGGCTGGGACGGAGCTTTGGGACTTGCCAGTGGAGAGACCACCACTGGAGCCCCTGGGCCGGAGGATGACAGGGCGGGGCGGAGAAGGAGAGCAAGCCCCAGGGCTCCCCGTGGCGATGTGGGGGAGCTGGCGGGGCAGGCGGGGGGGGGGGGCAGCCAGGAGGCTGGGTGCAGAGAACGTCTCCAGGGGCAGGAGGGCAGCGTGTGCCAGCGGCTGCTCCTAGGGTGGCTGCTGCCGGATCGGAGGTGATGCCAGGGACAATTCCTAAAGCTGCCCCGGGCTGAGCATCCCACAGAGCACCTTGCACACAGTGCCTCTGAGGACGGACGGAGATGATGGGGGGCACAGCCAGTGCAGGAGGACCCCGCGGGCGAGAGCTGAGGTCCGGGAGGGGGCAGAGGCGGCTCTGAGACACAGCCGGGAGGTGGGCTGAGGGGCAGAGGGGCCGTGCATGAAGGCCCACCGAGGATGGGCTTCCCTGTAGCTCTGGACTGCCAGGCGGCAGGCGGCCTGCTGAGCCGGCTGTGCCAGCACCAGTGCCATCGGCTGTCATCGACTGGTGGCTCCCTGGACCCTGCAGTCACCTGTCATCCCCTTCCCTCCCATCTGCTTTGGCCTTCAGTGTGGATCACGTCCTCACGGCCTGGGGAAGTCCTGAGTGGGCCTGGGTGGGGGCCGGGGGAGCTGCAGGAGCCCCTGCGTCTGCCCACAGCTCAGCTGAACCAGGCCCAGCGCGGGGGGCAGGAGCGTCAGGCCACGGGGATGGAATCCCAGCTCTGCCGCTGCCCGGCGGCCTGGAGCAGTCCCTTCCCTGGGCCTCGGTAGCACTGTCGATAAAGTGGGTGTGAGAAGGATGCGTTGCCCTGGCTGAGCCTTTTTTTTTTTTTTCCTTTCCCGAAACATTTTATTTCAAAATCATCTTCGGTTCTAGAAGAGTGACAAGGACAGTGCAGGCAGCGCAGCCAGCTCTCCCTCATGGGACGTCACCACCGTGCAGTTACCAGAGCTGAGATTAGTGCTGGTGCGTCACCGTTCACTGAGTCACCACTGCACTCAGTTTCCCCACCAATCCAGCCTGGGATGCCACCTCGCACGTGAGCTGTTTGTTTGTTTTAAACAGACTTTGTGTTTTAAAACAGCTTTCGGGCTGGCGCTGTGGCTCACTAGGCTAATCCTCTGCCTTGCGGTGCCGGCGCACCGGGTTCTAGTCCCGGTTGCCCCTCTTCCAGGCCAGCTCTCTGCTGTGGCCCGGGAGGGCAGTGGAGGATGGCCCAAGTGCTTGGGCCCTGCACCCCATGGGAGACCAGGAGAAGCACCTGGCTCCTGCCATCGGATCAGCGCGGTGCGCCGGCCACAGCGTGCTGGCCGCGGCGGCCATTTGAGGGTGAACCAACGGCAAAAGGAAGACCTTTCTCTCTGTCTCTCTCTCTCTCAGTGTCCACTCTGCCTGTCAAAAAACAAAAACAAAAACAAAAAAACAGCTTTCAGCTCACAGCGCCGCTGGAAGGAGAGTAAAAGGCTTGCCCACGCCCCCCTCATCTGCATTTGCTTTGATTGATGAGCCTGTATCCATACCCCGTCCTTATAATCAGGGTTTTTTTATTCCCTGAGCAGTTTTTAAACTAACAAAAGCAGAGCAATCTGTGGTCTCCTGTGGTTCCTCCTTGTCCACAGAGGCTTCCCCAGCTGCTCAGGCCCTTAGCCCGCCCGGTGGAGGAGGGCTTGTCCCCACAGTGGACCCCGCAGCGCCCTTCCACAGTGCCGTGCGCGCACTCAAAATCCGGAGGGAAGGTGTGCTCCAGGCCATGCACGTGGACTTAGGAAGGGAGGTGGCTCCTGTGCTTCCCGGCGAGTGGCTGCTGTCACATGCGGGCCAGGGAGTGAGTGCTGGGCAGGGGAGGGCAGCAGCTGCCCCCCACCCCCACTGACTGACCCTGTGGTGGTGCCCCTGGGTCACCAAGCCTGGCATGTGTCGAGCGCCCCCTGGAGGTCAGCGTGGCCACTCATAGAAAAGGCAGAACAGAGGACGGCTGGGGTCGTGGATTTAGGCTGCTGTAGGGGGGTGATGTCAGGTGACCGGTGTCTTCCAGGATAGACTGAGCCAAGGCCCCCAGCAGGAAGCTCAGCCTCTAGGGCGGCAGAGTCAGGATCGGCGGAGGTCGTGCGTTCACACGGCCATCGGTGCAGGCTGTCTCGGCCACAGCCATAGCCACAGCTTTCTCCTGCACAGAAAACCGAGTGTCTGAGGGTCCCGCTGCTGCTCGGGGGCGCCCTTCTGACCATCCAGGCAGAGGGGAAACGGCCTTGGTGCAGAGCTGCCCCAAGCTGAAGTATTCCTCACCCTCATTCCCCTGTAGCTTTGAGTGACAGCATGCAACCTTGCTGTCCGGGGGCCTGAGTGCTGGAGGGACCCCCAGAGAGGGCCCAGTGGGGGAGGGGACCGCCTTGGAGCGCCTCCTCTGTGTCCTGTGAGTGTGGGTCACTCGTGTCCAGGCCCGGTGGCCACTGATGCTGTCTTCATTTTCCTGAGGGCTCAGAGACTCGGTGGGGAATGACTGTTCCAGAGCCACAGGAAGTGGGGAACCGGGATTTGAACCCAGCTCTGCTTGGTTTCAGCCTAGGGCTCTCTGGGCCCACGTCCCGGGCTGTTGGGAGGCCTGCCCTTCCCTAAAGGGACACGTGTCAGGGAGCCTCCCCCCCGTTCCTAGAAGAGGAGTGTGGGGGTCGGTGTTTTGGTGTAGCCGGTAAAGCCACTGCCTGCAGTGAGTGCTGGTTCGTGTCCCGGCTGCTCCGCTTCTGATCCAGCTCCCTGCTGTGGCCTGCGAAAGCAGCGGAAGATGGCCCACGTCCTCGGGCCCCTGCACCCACGTGGGAGCCCTGGATGGAGCTCCTGGCTTTGGTCTGGCCAACTCCAGTCATTGTGGCCATTTGGGTAGTGAACCAGACGACGGACTATCTGTTTCTTGCTCTCTCTCTCTCTGACTCTGACTTTCAAATAAATAAATAAATAAATAATAAATAAATAACTTTTTTAAATGAAAGAACAAAATGTATCTGTGCGCACGAAAGTCAGTTTCCAGATCCTTCTCTCTCCCATCCTCCCAGCTCCTGGCCCGGAGGCAGCCTCGGTCAGCATCTCCTGGGCCCTGGCCGAGGTGGCTCAGTGCATCCTCATACGCACTCCTCTTTAATGCTCGTTCATTTGTTTTCACTTTATTTGAAAGAGATCTTCCACCTGCTGGTTCACTCCCCGAATGCTCACAACAGCCAGGGCTGAGCCAGGCCGAAGCCAGGAGCCGGGAGCCTGGAACTCGGCCGGGTCCTCCCTCCTGTGTACATGAAGCCCAGCAGCAGCCCGCTGAGCCCCCGTCCTGCCGCTTGCCGGCCGCGTCTGGGCGACAGTCCCCTCCCAGGACACAGGAGCTGCTACTTTAGCTGGCCCTGGGTCATCCTCCCATGAGCTCTGATCTCACTGATCTCCTGTCGATGGCCGTGGACGCTGGCTGTCACCCCAGCCCTGCAGGGACAACACGGGCAGCTGTGTCCTTCTGCCCACGTGCAGTTAGGTCAGCGGCGGAATGGCTGCGTGAACACATTTAGCGACAATGCCAGGCTCCGCTCTCATGCCGGACGGGACACTCGCTTCTGGTAGACAAAAGCCTGCTCCCGCAGCGAGGCTAGTCACCATTCCAAACCACGTGCGCTCTGATGGGTGCCGGGCAGCTGGGCTGCAAGGCGGGTGGGGAGGCTCCGCCAGGACCCAGCCCCAGAGGAAGAAGCCGCAGGGACTTTCTAACCACTCACCTGCCGGGAAGCTTGGAGGAATCCTGTCCAAGAAATGAGCTGCGTTCACGGCATCGGCGACTACTGTTGCTTTGCCTTGCCGTACACAGCAGTCACCCGCACTGCGTTCCTCATGGCGGAGAGCGTTGCATCCTGGGAAGCTGGAAGGAAGTCTTGCATCCCGACCTGCGTTGGGCGTGGTTTTGGAAGCAGAGCTGCAGACGCTGTATCAGTTAGCTACTGTTGCGTGGCAGACGCTCCCCAAAACTCCACAGCACACACCAGTCAGCCCTGGTTTCACCCACAGGGCTGGGGCCGCTCAGCTGTGCTCCCTGAGTCTCTTGCCCGCTTCTTGGGCACCCCTGTACCCCCCAGGGCAGGTGGAAACACGTAAGGTCTCCTAGGGGCTCACTTCCCAACCTCTGTTCTCTCGACCCTGTCTGCCAAAGGTAGCCAGCCCACAGTTGAACCCAAATTCAAGGGCCGAGGACAGACACTCTGCCTGTTTAACGGGAAGAACTGAGAAGTCACGTGATAGACGCACCTTGCCCAGAGCTTAGCCCTGTCCTTAGTTGACACGGCTGTTCCCATCACTGGCCTAGGCCAGGGGTGCCACAGAGCAGATCTGGGCCATGTCCCGAGGCTGTGTTGGCGGGGATGGGAGCCAGGCACGCCGAGCCCTGGGCCTGGGCCAGGGCATGTCCGTGGCTCAGAGCCGTCCGCTGTGCCCTCCCGATGGCGTAACGGCTCCTTCTCGTTGCAGGGGAACATGGGCCCCGCTGCCTTCTGGCTGCTGCTCTTCCTTCTCAAGGGTCCCGAGGCCCTGGCTGCTGTCCGCGGGGAGCTGGAGCGCGGCCTGGAGCAGCCGGACTCGCGGATGGCTGCCCTGCCGCAGAAGGTTCTAGACGACACACCTGTGCTGGGTGAGACGGCCGACCCCTGACACAGCTCCGGGACTGGGCCGTCAGGGGCTCCCCACAGCCTCCCCACCCTGGGTGCCCGTCCTCCAGGGTCCATTGGTTCCCTGACCCCCCAACCCAGCCCCCGGGACTGGGCCATCAGGGGCTCCCCACAGCCTCCCCACCCTGGGTGCCCGTCCTCCAGGGTCCATCCATTCCCCAACACCCCGACACAGCTCCAGGACTGAGCCGTCAGGGGCTCCCCACAGCCTCCCCACCCTGGATGCCCGTCCTCCAGGGTCCATCCGTTCCCCTGAGCTTCCCCTCTTCTCAGACCCGGCAACTCCACGCCCATCTCCGCTGCCCGGAGCTCACGGTCTCCATGGGAGATTTCTGGTCACAAGCGACAGTAAAGCAAACTTGACACACTGGAGAGGAAATGGGCCTGTAATTGAGACGTGTAACCAAAAAGTCCAGAGGCACTGGCTTCAGGCACAGGTGGATCCAGACGCTTGAACAGCGTCACCAGGACTCAGCTGGGTTTGGTTCCCGTCTCCAGCAGGCAACATGGCTCCAGCAGCTGCAGGCCAGCTGCCCTGGCTCTGAGGGTGTGCCTCTCACGGCCTGCCCACCCCGAGTCCCAGGGATGCAGCTCATTGGCCCTCTTTGGGTCACTTGCCCATCCTGAACGAATCATGGGGCTCAGGGGGATGTTCTGATTGGCCCATCAAAGCCCAACCCCCGGGAGTGGGAGGGTGCAGTCCGCCGAGGAGGATCCAGGGACTCATTCCAGAAGCGGAGTCCGCTGGGCAGGCGAAATAACTGCTGCTGGTGGCCCCTCTCTCCCTGCCTTCCCTCACAGCTTCTCTGGGGGTCAGACACAGTTCCCTTCATGCTCGAGGGTCTTTGAGGGACCACAGAGATCACGTCCCAGCCTTGCTATGTGACTGTGGGCAGCCATGCACCTCTCTGATCACGTCCCAGCCTTGCTGTGTGACTGTGGGCAGCCATGCACCTGTCTGATCACTCCCCAGCCTTGCTGTGTGACTGTGGGCAAGCCATGCACCTCTCTGATCATGCCCCAGCCTTGCTGTGTGACTGTGGGCAGCCATGCACCTCTCTGATCACGTCCCAGCCTTGCTGTGTGACTGTGGGCAGCCATGCACCTGTCTGATCACGCCCCAGCCTTGCTGTGTGACTGTGGACAGCCATGCACCTGTCTGATCACTCCCCAGCCTTGCTGTGTGACTGTGGGCAAGCCATGCACCTCTCTGAGCTGCTGCTACTTCCTTTGTGCAGTGAGGGCAAGGGGTGGCATTGGAGCGGGCGAGAGGGCAGCCTGCTGACCCTTCCCTGCCCCCACCCCATGCAGACAGTGTGCTGAACGAGAGCCTCAGGCTCACGGCCGCGCCGTTCATCACCCGAGAGGTCATGTTGGACCTGGCCTTGCCCATGGCCGATGGGCGGGAATTCACCCTGCGACGTGGTGACCGCCTCCTTCTGTTTCCCTTCTTGAGCCCCCAGAAGGACCCAGAAATCTACACGGACCCCGAGGTAAGCGGCGGGGCACCTGGCCACACTAGGGGCTGTGTAAGGGAAGGGTCATTGCCTTGGGGTCCGCCCGATCTGAGCCGCAGCCTGCCCCCGCCCCCACCCTGCCCCGCCTCTACCTCTGCCTCCACCCCTGCCTCTGCCCCTGCCCCCGCCCCGCCCCTGCCTCTACCTCTGCCCCTGCCCCCGCCCCCGCCCTGCCTCTACCTCTGCCCCTGCCCCACCCTCTCCCCTGCCCCTGCCTCTGCCCCTCTGTGTCTGTTTCCTCACCTGTGATGTGGAGCTGATGATGGCACCTGCTTCACAGACTTGTCAGGAAGATTAAGTGAGATAAGATAAGGCGAAAAGGCCTTCAGAGTGCCTGGCACACACTTGAGGGCTTTGTAAGCGATAACTGAGTGGTTTTCCCTTACCCAGGATGTTATAATGTTAATTTCCCAACACTTTGCCCTTTTGAGATGGGGCAGACGTCCACAATTGCTGACACGTTGGATGTTTATGATCCGCTGTGTCCCAGACCAGATGCTCACCCATCCATCCATCCACCCATCCATCCATCCACCCATCCACCCATCCACCCATCCACCCATCCACCCATCCATCCATCCACCCATCCACCCATCCACCCATCCATCCATCCACCCATCCACCCATCCACCCACCCATCCACCCATCCATCCACCCATCCACCCATCCATCCATCCATCCACCCATCACTGACACGTTCATCTGTCCATCTGTGCCAGCATGCATAAACCCACCCACCCTCCCACCCATCCCTGCATCCATCCACTCACCTTCCCATCCACCCATCGGTCCATCCGTCCATCCGTCCACCCAGACATTCATCCATCCATCCATCTTTCCACCACCTACCCGCCCACCCGCCCATCATCGGTGGATCCACTGGTCCGTTCCGCTGTCCACCCCCCGTCTTTCCCTCCGTTCCTACGCTAGACAAGCCCTGTGCTCAAACACAGCCCAGCAAGTTCTTCCCCTTTCTCACCAGTTCCGCAGAGTTCCCGAAGCCTGGTGTAGAGGGTGTCCTTTAGATTGTCTCTGTGCCTCTCCAGACACACACACAGCACACTCCCACGGGAGTTCAGGACCATGCAATACGAACTCTTCCGAGCTTGCGTCTGTCACTCCCCAGCTGGTCCCAGGAATGCTTTCCTGTGGCACTCGCGACCTGTGGCTGTCTCCGCGGCTCTTGGTTGGCCTCCGCACTGCCTCGGCGCGCCCCTCGTGCAAGCAAGGCCATGAGCCACGCCCCCATGCAGTTCCCGGGGTGCCCGAAAAACCACCCTTTGCCGTTTCAGGTGTTTAAGTACAACCGGTTCCTGAACGCTGACGGCTCGGAGAAGAAGGACTTCTACAAGGACGGAAAACGACTGAAGAATTACAGCATGCCTTGGGGAGCGGGGCACAACCAGTGCCTGGGCCGGACCTACGCCACCAACAGCATCAAGCAGTGCGTGGGGCCCGGGGCCAGGGGCCAGGGGGCCGGGCGGGCGGGCGGGGCTGCTCCTCCTCCTCACGGAGAACCAGAGGCTCAGCCAGGCGGTGGTTTAGGGCCGAGGCTCTCGGAGGACAGTGGGCGAGCCCATCCTGCCCACGGCTGTTTATTTGCGTGTTGCTGAATGTGTGCCGGCTGACCACTGTGAGGAGCCCTGAGAAGCCAGATTTCTGGGTGCGCTCGCGGTGCTTTGCTCGGGCATCAGGTCAGCCCCTCCCACGCGTGCACAGTCCGTGAGCTGAGCACGCCAGCCTCGCGCAGCTGCTGCTGTGTGTGCAGAACCGGGGGCCTCACACAGTCTCTTCCTCGGACCCCAGGGCCTTCACCCATGGGGTCACGGACAGATTGGCCCAGAGGCCCAGAGGGTGTCACGATTAGTCTTTCTAAGGACTTAACGCCCTCGCTGCTCAGCTCCCAGTGAGCATTTGATACAGTGAACTTTTATCCTAATTATCATTATTTTTAGATTTTATTTATTTGTTTGAGAGGCAGAGTTACAGACAGAGGGAGAGACAGAAAGGTTTTCCATCCACTGGGTCACTCCCCGGATGGCTGCAATGGCCAGAGCTGCTCCGATCCGAAGCCAGGAGCCTCCTCCGGGTCTCCCATGCGGGTGCAGGGGCCCAAGCGCTTGGGCCAGCCTCTACTGTTTCCTCAGGCAATAAGCAGAAAGCTGGATCAGAATTGGAGCAGCCGAGACTTGAACTGGTGCCCATACAGGATGCTGACACCACAGGCATAGGCTTAGCCTACTACGCTGCAGTGCCATCCCCAGTTATCGTTATTATTCGCGCGCAGGCATTATGTTAAGTGCATGGGCACCTTACATTATCCTTTAGGTCTCAGTTTTCCCAACAGTAAAATAGACGGTACAGTGCAGTTGGGTCTGGCATCTGCTGTCAGCCTTCACACACGTTCCTGAGATTGACCTTGGCACGTGACAGCATGCAGTCAGAACCCCGGGGTTATGGCAGAGAGGAGGCTGGGCTTAGCACCCAGAAACCGCAAAAAGAGATAAAGAACGGTCGTGCAGTTTCCCACATGATAAGTGGTTCTGAAGCAGCGACGCCGGCTGCGGAGAGACGTGGCGGCTGGCGGCTGGCGACTGGCGGCTGTGCACATGGCGTGGACCGGTTATGGGCTTCCGCGCAGCTGGGTTCACTGCGGAGAGCGGTGCATCACCTCCCGCTTCAGGAAAAATGAAATCGCAAGTGAGCAAACGTGCAACTCCCGTCATGCTCAGGTCCTGCCCCAGAGCCACGTGTAGGGACAAGCGTGGAAGCTCAGGCTGTCTCTCCCACCCCGTCAAGGCTTCGGTCAGATAAGGAGCCAGCGTGGATCCTGAGTGCTCGCCACCAGGGTTTCGATCCATTACGGAATCTCCCTTACTCCCCTGACCTCCGTGCTCGGTGGGTGTCCGCCTAGAACTGAGCCTGGACACGCCGGCTCATCTGCCGTGGCCTGTCCCCTGGGACGTGGAGGTGCAGGATTCAAATCCAGGTGTGGGCCCTAGGCCCCCACACTGTACACACTCGCTCTTCAAATCCTGAAGGGACTCCCCCTCCTCCCCCGCTGTGTGCTGGTGGGGAAACCAAGTCCTAGAGCTGGGAAGGAACTCGGTGAGGTCCGCGTGCCCTGAAGCGGCTCCGCCCAGATCCCTTGTCCAGAGGGAAACTCGCTGTGTGCCCGTCTTCCTCTTCCTCCCTCCTCCAAACGAGTGAAGGATCCCCCCACCCCGCACCCCTGGGTGTGCTCAGTCCTCACTAGGCCTTGGGCCAGGTGGGCGGGCCAGGACACTGCTGGGACACTGTGACAGCCGCACCCCTATCCGTAGGGACACTGGCAGAGGCGGGAACTGGCCAGGACAGAGCGGGCGGCAGCACGGGCCAGGCAGCAGGCACTGGTGGTGCCTAAAGGTGACAGTGGAGCACGCTTGTTCGGGGAGGCTGCTGTGTGCAGGGTCTCACCGAGGTCTGGAGAGAGCGGGCCTGGTTCTCACTTCACAAAGACCCCGTGGGCAAGGACAGTCAGGCTTCTGGGAGCTGGAGGAAGGGGGACTGAGCACGGGCAGAGGGGCTGGGAGAGTCTACACTGGCCAGCCACACTGCTGTAGCAAGGACGACGGGTCTCCGCGGCAGAGCTGTCACTCACCCTGCGGCGCCCGTGAGACGGGGGGCTTCTTCGTTCCCTGAAGAGACTCGGGGGCCCCTGAGCCCGAACTTCTGGGTGCTCACGGGTGGGCGGCAGCAGAGCAAGGGCGCCTCGGCTCTCAGGTCAGCCGGAGTCGGGGGGCGGCGCGGGCCCGCCCCCTGCGCTCCGTGCAGCTGACGCCACCGTCTCTCTGCAGATTTGTGTTCCTGGTGCTGCTGCACTTCGACCTGGAGCTGCTGGACGCTGGGGCCGAGCTGCCCGAGTTTGACCTCAGCAGGTACGGCTTCGGCCTCATGCAGCCGGAGCGCGACGTGCAGGTGCGCCTCCGCCTCCGGCCCTGAGACCCCCGAGACGTGCCCACCGCCCGCCGGCCGGCCCCACCTCCCACCTGGCCAGGCCAGAAGAGCGGTGCAGGCCTCAGGCCTCCTGCAGGGGGCGCCAGCTGTGGCCACAGCCCGGTCTGCTTTGTGCGGGACACGTTTGCCTTAGTTGTCGTCGTCGAATCATCTTTGGGAGACTTGAATTCCAAACGTCCCTTTTCTTGGGCGCTTGAAGACTGGGCCATGCTGGGCCCCCGTGGCCAAGGGTGGCTGCTGGCCGGAGCTTGTGGGGGACACGTGCTCTCTGCTTCTGCATTCGGTGCTGACTCAGAGGCGCCGTTGTAGGAGGTGGAGGGAGCCAGCCAAACTCACCCCAGCCTGGGTGCACTGCTCGGAACAGATCAGAGATGCACACTTGGCTTTGCCTCGGCTTTAGAAAACAAGCAGCTTAGGGGCCGGCGCTGTGGCATAGTGGGTAAAGCCGCCACCTGTGGTGCTGGCATCCCATATCGGCGCCGGTTCAAGTCCCAGCTGCTCCACTTCCAATCCAGCTCTCTGCTGTGGCCTGGGAAAGCAGTAGAAGATGGCCCAAGTGCTTGGGCCCCCACACCGTCGTGGGAGACCTGGAAGAAGCTCCTGGCTTCGGATTGGCCTAGCTCTGGCTATTGGGGTCATTTGGGGAGTGAACCAGCAGATGGAAGGCCTCTCTCTCTCTCTGCCTCTGCCTCTCAAATAATAACTAAATAAATTTTAAAAGAAAACAAGCAACTTAAAGGAGAAAAAATCCTGCAAGCCTTGATTTGGATGGTAGGTCTTGTTAGTAAGACTGGGACCTGCTTTCGGCGTACCCTTTCAGTGCCTGCCACAGGCACAGTTGGCACTGTGTGTGCACCCCTGGCCCCACATTTGTGGGGAGACAATGGCTGTGCCCACTGTGCAGATGAGAAGACCGGCTCAGAGAAGTGAAGTGCCTGCGTCACACAGCTCGTAAGCCAGTGGGACGCAGTCTTTTGTCTGTCTGGACAGTTCTGCATCCCTTGGGCCCCAGGGGCGGCAGTGGGGGCAGGGGGTGGCTGTTCTACAGCACAGGACAGCTGACAGAGCTGTGTGCTTCCAAGGGTGGCTGCAGCCCACAAGATGCAGATACACGCATAGCTGCTCTCCAGGGCCACGTCTGGCCGTGGGGGCTTTCCAGGCACCTCCCGTGTTCCCAGGCAGACACCGTGATTGGCAGGAGGCCGGATATCCCCAGGGAAACCCATCTCCACGCCTGGGTGACCCTGCTGCCGCCTGCCTCTTCACTCTGCAGGCAATCAGAGCTGGCAGTCTCCTGTGGGAGGCTGGCGCTGGTTTCCATGGCAACCCGCAGCTACCGCCCCGTGGCTTCAAAGCGCAGGAAGAAAGTGGGCAGGCGTCGCTGCGGGGCTGCGACCCCGGTGCGGTGCGGAAGGCCCCGGTCAGACCGGGGCTCTCGCCCGCTGAGACTGGAGTCGCACCTGCGCTCCCGCAGGGCCGACTCCCTTTACAGGTGGCACCTGCTCGGAGAGCCACGATCGGAAGGGAGTTAGCCACAGGGAGGTGGCCTGGATGTTACCGTGTCCCCTTGTCACCGCTGTGAGGATCCCGAGACGGCGGGACGCTTGTTAGGAGGATTTCATGCAGTGTCCCTGTACCACGGTCATTGTTACAGTGTCAAGGCTACATTTTGTATTGTTTTTACTTAATAGTCTCCTATAGACAGATTCACCTTTGAAAATTAAGAATTTGTTTAAAAGGGGAGCTTTTTGCATCGCTTGGAAGTGGACAGCGTGTCTCGCTGGCTGTGAACAGAATCTGCTGGGGCTGAGGCCCAGAGCCTGCCGGCCGTCTTGGCTACACAGCGAGCAGGTGCCATGCCAGCGTCTCCCTGAGTCTTTGTCTTTGACCATCCCCAGGGGCCGGAAAGGACAGGAAGAGGGGCAAGCTGCTCCCTGGAGGGGCCACCAGGGCCGTCTCCTCCCCCAGGGGGCCACCCCAGAAGCTGGTGACATCCTACCCGCCCCTTTCCTGAGGGTCATTGGTTCTGATGGATTTTCTTGTGTAAACACCACGCCCCCTGAGCAGCAGCCATTGTTAAGCTTTGCTACTGTAATAAAGAGTTCTATTTTCATATAACACTGACAAATGGAAACGTGCTGAAATCGATTAAACCAGCCTTGTTTGTGGACCTGCCTCTGCGTTTGATTTCTATCCCGGGGTCAGCTCCTGGGAACCGGGGCACAGAGCACCTACTGTGTGCCCAGCTCTGTCCAGGGCCTCTCAGACGCACCTCTCACAGTCCGACCTGCAGCCACCCGCCGAGGCATACGCTGGTATCCCAGTCATGCAGAGGAAGAAGCTGAGGGTCCGAGGGGGGAAGTGGCCGGCCCACGACCACGTGGCTAGGAAGCAGCAGGTGGACGTGCACGTGCAGGCGTCTCTGCCCAGGATCCTCCTGGGTGCCCACGGGGCCTCGGGCTGCAGGGACACCAGACGAGAGCTCTTCCAGCTGCCTGGGACAGGCTCCGTCCGCCCTCAGGTTGCGTGCACTTGTGGTCATAGAAAAAACAAAGGGCGACGTGGATGAAATTAGCTTTGGGAAAAATACCACAGGGGTGGGGGGGAGGTTTTGTTTTGTTTGTTTTCCCTCCAAGTCTTTGAGTTAAAATACTGCCCCGGCATCTGCCTCTCACGGTTTTCTCCGGAAGGAGGTCGCGGAGCCCACGTGCTGGGGCTGGATTTGGCCGTGAGTGACAGACGTCTCGCAGTAACGCAGCGACAGTTTGTCCTGCTAAGTGTCTCCGCTAAGAGCAGCAGACGTTTCTTTATTTCTTTTGCTTTCGTGTGGGGGAGCAGAAGTGGTGTCGCAACTGCATCGTTTCCAGCTCTCCTCTCCTTTTTCTTTCTTTCTCTCTCTCTCTCTCTTTTTTTTTTTTTTTTTTTTCTCCCTCCTGTGTGGGTGACCTGTGGTTTCTCCCTCAGGGACGGCTATGCCTCCTCTGCTCCAGTCATTTTGTCCACATTCCCGCCAGCAGTCAGCAGAAAGGAGAGGGCAAAGAAAAAAAAAAAAGCCTGCTTCCATTCCATTGGTCAGAACTTAATCACATGACCCCCTTTCTGCACAGGAGGCTGGGAAATGTAGTCTTCACCAGCTCAGGCAGTGCTGCATTCTGTTGTCCTATTCACCAGCCGTGGTCTGGGCCACATGGCACAGCCAGACACTCAGTGCTTGGCTCCCCTGTCGACTTTAGATCCTGGGTCCCGAGAGTCTGCAGCTCTAAGACTTCGGCCTCGTAACCCTGGACCATTAAAGTCAACAGGAAAATCCCAGGGTGAATCTATGGAAATTAAGAAATGCATCATTGGCTGCTCCCGCTAAGAATGAACACAACTGCTCCCTCAGGAGCCCGTGTGGAGGGGCTGGCACTGTGGCACAGCGAGTGAAGCTTGCAGCGCCAGCATCCCATACTGGAGCCTGAGTTCAAGTCCTGGCTGCTCCACTTCCCATTCAGCTCCCTGCTGATGCACCTGGGGAAGCAGTGAAAGGTGGCCCAAGTGCTTGGGCCCCTGCAGCCACGTGGGAGACCCGGCTGGAGTTCCAGGCTCCTGGTTTTGGCTTAGCTCAGCCCCAGCCATTGTGGCCATTTGGGGAGCAAATCTCACTCTCTGTCTCTCTGTCACTCTGCCTATCAAATAAATTAACACATTTAAAAAAAAAGTGAATATTGAATAGCCCCCAATGAGTATAACCCAGACGTTATTCTGGGCACTTTGCCTGTGCCAGGCATTGTTGTAGGCGATGGGGAGCCAGCAAAGAGTAAAACAGACCCCTGCCCAAATCCATCTTCATGGCGCTGACGTCACGGGCAGGCGAGACAGCGTGAAGCAGGTAACTGCCGGACACAGAAAGCTCTGCGGTCGGTGCTGATGCCTTGGAGAAGAAATGAGGAGGATGGGGTGTGCGGGGTTACATGGAGCGGGCGGGGCAGGCCTCCCTGGGGGGACCTTTGATGGGAGACTGGAGGGAGGTGACAGGAGCAAGCCGTCCCTGCTCCGGGGGGAAGAGCGTCAGAGTCAGGGCCGCACGCGGAGGTGCGGTGCTCCCAGGGGTTCCAAGATCAGGAAGGAGCCAGAGTGGCCGGGAGCCATGGCGGGGAGAGGAGGGACAGGGTCTCCCTGTACTCCAGCAAGATCCCGCTGGCGTGTGTGAGTGTAGGTGTGTGAGTGAGTGAGACAGGCTGCAGGGGCGAGGCAGAGGAGACAGGAATCGTCCAGGCAAATGCTCTGCCCTCGTGGATTTCACATTGGGGGCAGAAGACGCAAACACACATGACACATGACACACCCATGAGGCACATACCACACATACACACACACACACACACACACACACGGACGTGGAGCCAGGCCTGCAGCCGGGCAGGGCAAGTCTGCAGGCAGGTGGCGCTGTGGGTTGAGGTCTGAACGAGAGGTACCGCCTTGCAAAGACCTGGGGAGAGGATGGGGGAAGTGCGCACTGTCCCGTGGCCATGGGAGCCCCGCCCAGGAGGCCGGCTGTGCGGCAGGGGCAGCGGGGCAGGGGGAGGCAGGCATCAGTCCCCAGAGGTAGGAGAGCTGGCTCTGTGAGCGTCGTCTTAGGAGACGCAGTTAATCAGCCCCCGTCTCGGCAGTCGTCATTTCTTCCTCCTGCTGGCTCGCTCCTTTCTGTCCCCTCTTGGAGTCCCCAGTCCCCTCTGAGGGGAGAGAGATTAGTTCACCTCTAACTGCTGTGCCTCGGCTCATCCCTGCCCTGTATTTCATCATTGTTTGGCCACAGACCCTGGGCGTGAATGGCTTTAAAAGCCCTGCCCTCCACGAAGCTCCTTGGACTGCACGCTGGTTTCTCTGTCTCCCTCGGTGGGGACCCTCTGGGGGCACTTGTGCTTCCTCCCGGGCAGGGCGTTGGAGAGGCCAGGCCAGGGCTCAGCATGGAGCATTTCTCTAAATGTGGGGCGGTGGGCGGTGGGGATGCCTGGGTGGCTGGCAGATTTGTGGATGGATGAGTGGGCTTGCGCGTAATAGATGCATGCATGTTTGGGGTGGATAAGTGGGTGGGTGGGTAGATGCCTGGGTAGATGGAGATGGAGAGGTGCATGAGGGAGTAGGTGGGCGGGTGGGCGGGCATAGATGGACGGGTGATGGGTGATGTACTGACAGGCAGGTGGTTGGCGCTGTGCTGTGGTTGTGGATTCCCCTAGGCCTCACGTGCTGGAAACTTGGACCCTGGTGTGGCGATGTCGAGAAAGGGCGGGGCCTTTAAAGGTGGAGTCTAGTGGGCGGGTCCCAGATGAGATGAGATCCGTGTGAACCACTTAGCAGAGTGCCTAGGACATAGTAAGCGCTCTGTCGCATCGTGGTTGTCACCATTGCCACTACTCTCGCATTAGCGTGTAGTTAGGCAAAGCACGGAGCCCTCCGTGCGTGGTCTCAGCATCGCTGTGAGGTCGATTCTATCATTATCTGCATTTTCACTTGCAGCTATGATTGCTATTATTGGTTGTGACAAAAGCAGGAGTGGGCGAGAAGACTGGAGTCCAAGCTGATGGGCAAATCCCTGGGGCTGCCAGAGGCCTGTCTGAGCAAGGCCACAGCAAAGGGTATTGATTTGTCCCGAGTGACAGCCATTGAGTGGTGACATGATTTCCCTTGAGCCTTTGGGTGCCCCCTGTAGCCTCTCAAAAGCAATTACTCCTACCTGGGCACTCGTGGGGGAGGGGAATTAATTAGCCTTGCTCGGTGCCCAAATGTGCCAGGAAATCTGAGAAGGACACTCCGTGGGGTTATAAATAAGTCACGGCTTCAAGCGGACACATCTCTTGCCAGCGTTGCCCAGAGGGGCCCTCACTGGGATTTATGCGGATGGGTTGAGCCAGCTCGACCTCACTCAGCCTGGAAGAAAAATCTCAACGCTTCCCAACAGGACATCTGCCCAGGAGGCGTGGGCAGAGAACTTGAGAGTGCGGCTGACCACTGGGTCCCACTGGGTCCCCGTTGCCCTCAGGGAGGTTTTCAGCTTCCCCCGTTCCGTGAGACGGGTGTGCCCGGCCCGGAGTGGGAGCCAGCGACCCTTCTCTGCCCAGCACTCTGAGCTGTGACCGTCCTTTGGCCCTGGTTCTGTGCTTCTCGAGCAGGCGCGTCTGTGAGTTGAGCCCTTTGGGGCATGGTTAACAGAACGAGGACTAGGTTAAAAGGGGCATTTATTTCCTAGTTCACCTAAGCTGGAACATCCAGTGGTGCCGCCTTCAGGCACGGCTGCATTCAGGAGCTCCAGGGAGTTTTTGAGGAGCTGGCATCTCCACCTCTGGGCTCCGCCTTCTCCTGTGATGGCTTCATTCCCAGGTAGCTTCTCCTCTCGTGATGCAGAAAATGGTGGTAAAGGCCACGTGCCTTCGAATAACTTACCGTTTTTTTCAGTCAGGAAATAAAAAGTCTAAATCAGGCATTGGGGCAGAGCCGGGGGATTGTGCCTCCACGTGCCCGGTGCTCCAGCTCAAATCTACACCAGGACCAGGCAGGAAATGTGACCACGGGACAGAGACTTGAGAGAGAGGAGAGCACACGCTGGCAGCTAACCGGATCCACTCAGCGCTCAAGAGGAGCCCCAGATCCGTATTTTTACATAAACTCCTCTGATGCTTCAATATTGACTCAAAATTTCAACAACACAGTCTGCCGACCACTGGCTCATGACCTCTGCTACGCGGCCCTGACTGTTACCCAGGCAGCTGGACTCTGCCCGCACACCAGCCATTCCCTGTACAACATGAGCTGGCCCTTAATAACCAACCAGACGCTCTGTAGAGGCATAAAGGCCCACGAGTGGCTATGTCTGCCCTAAAATAGACAGCAAAGAAGGGAGGCCTGGCCATGCAGGTGCACAGCCCCCTGCAAAGCCATCCCCAGAGAAACAGGATCTTATCAGCACCAGCGCGAGGGCCTCAGCAAGTTCATGGTAAATGGAAGTAGAAGACCAGCTTATTTTGGTGAAAAGTTGTTTGTTGAAATCCATGCAGCTTTTCACCACATGCATTTCCAACGCACTTTTTTGTAAGAAAATATTTAGCTATTTATTTGTTTGAAAGACAGAGTGGCGGCCAGCGCTGTGGCTCAATAGGCTAATCCTCCGCCTGCAGCGCCGGCACACCTGGT